CAGGGCTATGGCAACCACTGTTTGTGAACTAAAATGGCTGAAATCCCTGCTTTTCTCCCTTGGTGTGCGTCACAAACAACCCATGCGGTTGTTTTGTGATAATCAGGCAGCCCTCCATATTGCAGCTAATCCTGTCTTCCATGAGCGTACGAAACACATTGAAATTGATTGCCACTTTGTGCGTGACGAAATCCAACGAGGTGTTTTGTGTACTCGCCACATCTCCACCAATGAACAACCGGCAGATCTCTTTACAAAGGCTTTGGCTTCCGCTCCATTTTCCCATTTGCTGTCCAAACTGGGCATCCAGAATCCGCATGCTCCAGCTTGAGGGGGGGTGTTGGGCGGTGCTCCTTGGACCACACGGCAAGAAGGAGAGCAAATCCCATTCTAAGTGGGATTGCTCTTGATTTGTTTCCTTGTTCATATTTAGTGATTTGTTTCCTTGTAGGAATAGAATTCCTTTTGTGTTTTGGTCTTTATCCTCTCCTATAAATAAAGGAGAAACTCCTTGTACTTAGCAGAACAATTCAATATACAGAATATTTTTTCCCTCTTATCAAATTCTACAATGACAAGTGACCTTCAAGACTGTGAAGGACAATAGAGCAAAGGAGTTCCTTGGGGACAGAATCGCCAAACCCCAAGTTGCGTTTGATTAGATTGATTAGGTTGCCAGAGTGCTAACAGATCTGAATGTCTCGGTGACGAATCACCCTAAACTCGTGACCTAGCTGCTTTAGAAAGGAGTATACGACTGGTGAAAGCGCATTGACATCAAGGAGAAGACACTGAAACCTTGGACAGGGGTATATTTTGATTGGGCTTTCAAAAAGAAATATATACCGGCCCCCTTCGGTGAGGAGAAGCATACAGAATTTATGGAGCAACAGAAGAGGGCATGACCCATGCCGAGTTACGCCAAAGGTTTGACCACTTGGCCTAGTTTGAACCATTATTGGTATCAACACGGGCAGACCGCATTGAAGAGTTCAAGAAAAGGTTGTCTCCCGACATCCAACAACACATCACTACAAGAAAATTGCTGATCTGCAACGGAAAAATTTTGTGGCAGAATTTAAAATTCCGTGGCAGATTCCTATTCTGCGGCGGATCTGCTACGAAGTTTTTCCGTCGCAGAAAAGTTGTGGCAGATTTAATATCTTCGACGGACTTTACATTCCGTGGCAGATCTGTGACGGACCTGCAAAGGGATTTTCATTTTTTTCCATCAAACAAAATCTGCAACGGAAATAATAAACCGTCGCAGATCTGCGATGTAATCAGCAACGGAATCATCTGTCGCAGATCAGCGACAAAAATAGCAACGGCCTTTTCCGTCGCAGATGACCTGTTGACATAACCAGAATTTTCCTGTTTTTGGCACTAGCTATTAAAATGAGGGGGGTGGGGTGTGGGGGGCAAAACACATTCAATCTTCACACACATAATTCCAAAGAAGATTTCAACACCCAAATTGATAATTCAAATCTAGATTAATGCAAACTTCAAATGCGAATGTAACATAATTCACTATGTTCTAACAATAAATATTAAAATGTTAGTGTCAAGTGTTTAAAATGGAGGAAGCTATGGTCGTAAAGGTCTCAACAAATCCCGGGCTGCCTCGCCCCTCCCGTTCCATCATCATCGCCTCGTCGAGGAAGGTTACCACCATATAGCTTCCTTTTGTCCTCCTGAATCGTCAGCGACAAGTTCGAGGTTAGACTATCAATTTGTTCCTGCACCCTTTGGTTTTGCTCTTTGAGTGCTGATATCTCCGCTGTGCTTCTACTACTCGTGCTGGAACGACGAGGTTTGGAGGACGGATTCATCTTCCTCATTTCCTGCTCATAGTCACCAATTCCAGGAATGCGGTTCTTCGCGTTATGGCCCTCAACTAACGAGTACCATATTTCTTCGTCAGTGACTTGCAGCCCATTCTGTCTAGCCTCCTCGCGTTGTTCGAAGAATTGAGCCTGAAATACATGATAGTTAATAACACACAACAACAACGCAATAATAATAGCGTCAAGAACAGCAAGAAAAACAACAAAAACAAGAACAACACAAGAACTTAACAACTAACATTACCATGGATCAATAACAACGTAACATATACTTTGTGTTGACAGCACCATCAACGTAACAACAAGAATAGGTTGTCATTGGACAACAACACCATCAACGCAACAACACAAATAGTGTCATACGACATCAACACCACCATCAACGCAACAACAATAATAACAACATGATTAACAATAACATCAACAACAAGAATAACGTCAACAAGAATAATATAATTCATGTACACAAGCTAAGATATCGAATAAAGTATTACCCTTTAGAAGTTTTAAGATAAAAGCACCAACATTATGCACATGAACACAAATTGTTATGCGCATAACAGAAACTACCTGTAGCTCAGCATGTTCAGGATCCACCCAAGTCTTGTCGTCGTGCTTCTTTGTCTTTCTGTGGATGATAACCTCATCCAACGACATAGGCCCCGCTTTCTTCTTAGCCTTCAAGTTTCAATGAACATGTCCATTAAATTTTACATTTAATGTCCACCAAATTAGATAACAAGTGCAAAGCTATTATTTTATAAAATATATCTTACCAGTCGATTCATATTTTCATAAAATGGAACTGAACCTCCACAATACGTCCCAAGAGCAGGACCATCCTCTTTTCCCTTCCTTCTGTTCTTCTTCTTAATCTTACTCAAATACAGAAACTCCGGATCCTCTTCCCAAACCTATACTTGTATATTTCATAAAAATTACTTATACATAGCAATACGATTTCGTATGAAAACTATTACTAATTTACCTTCTTCAACTGCTCAAATGGCCTCGGGTCCTTCTTCTTCTTCTTCAATCGACGTGGGTTCCTTTGATTGTATGTAAACTTTGCGTACCGTTCAGCAGCTTTCTTGAGAAAAGTTTTCCTCAGCCTGCCCTCATCGATTGACGGATCCACTCTAGCATTTTTCTACATTGACATAATAGAAAAGCCAATAATTTAGATTCTTTTCACATATATTAATTTTCTTGTGATCAAAAGAAGTTAAAAAATAATTTTTCTAAAAAAAACCTTGAACTCTCGATAGTAGAACTCCTTCGTCGTCGCTGAGACTTTGCCCCACGACATGCCAGTTGTGTCCGTCCTCTCGTAGAATGCCGGTGTGATGAGACCAGCACTAGCGCTAGTGATTGTAACCCTACAAACATATATAAGTAGTGAACATAAAATCGTTAGGTATTTGTAAATGTTTTATGTCATACCATAATCTTCAAATGTACACCGTACTTACTCGTCATCCGAATTGACATACACGAACTGACCCTGATGACCGGGACCCTCGTGATATCTTCGTGATCGCGGTCCTTGCCATCTCGAGCCCCACATTTATTACCAACAACCATGGCAACAATAAAGGCGGATAACAAACGACAATCTTATTAAGTCACAAACAACAATCATTTAACTACAAATATGAACGTATAATGAACTCAATTTCACAAAATTCAACTAAATTTTACCTAAATTCTCAATAAATGATGAATTCACTCACACAATTTCAACTAAAATTATACCTTAAATGCCATCAATTTCACCAAAAACTAATGCAATTTTTACCCAATTTTATGTCAATTTCATCTCATATTCACACAATTTCAACTAAATTTCACCAAAAATGTACTCAATTTCACATAAACAAATTCAATTTCACCAAAAATTACAATAATAATAATAATAATAATAAATTGTATAAAATTAAACAAAAATACCTCCAAGTTCACTGCAAAGACGAAGAGGAGGTCCGGCGGGGGAAGAGACGGCTGGCAGTGGAGTACTAGCGGCGGCGACAAGGGGTAGCGGCGGCTTGTGGACGGCGCGGCTGGGGGACGGCGTGGCTGGGCGAACGGCGTGGCTAAAGGGTCCGGCGTGGCTGGCCACGACGGCGGGGCTGGCGAGGACGTGCGTCGGCGGCGAGTACGGGCGTCGACGGGTGGCGGAGGGCTGGCGTTCGAAGGACGGGAGAGAGAATTGGGATTAGGGTAGAATGACGGACGAATGGCTGGGAAAAAACCAATCTCGATTTTTAGTAATTCTCTGCGACGGAGCTGCGACGGAATTAAAACTCTGTCGCAGATAATCAGGTCAAAATTTGACCAATTTGAATTTGCGACAGGGGGCAATATTCCGTCGCAAATCAGCGACGGAAATATGAAATCCGTCGCAAATCTGCGTCTTTTTCAGGAATTATTATTCCGTCGCTGATTCATTGCAAATCTGCTACGGAAATTGGTCCGTAGCAGATATCCGTTGCAGACCAGACAAATTCTTGTAGTGCATGTCCATCATGACTGCCGCCGACTTCTCAGAGGTTTAGGATTTGATGGAAAAAGCTGAAAAGGACATTGACGACTACAAGGCCAATTTTAAAGCTGAGAGGGTTGGGCCAAATACTCGAACTACTTCTAGCGCATCACATGCCAAATAGTTAGGTATGTTCTCACTATTCGATACTCATATGCTTGCATTAATTGAACCAGGCTCTGCGTGGCTCTACGTTCTTGTATATTTAAATTCCTATGCTTGATAAATGTGATACCGAATGAGGCAATTTAGAGTATCCTATGATAGTATCCAATCCCTTAAGACATAGTATGCATCTTCATCACGTTTTTCACAACTCTCTGCTAGGGGTGGACACGGTACCGGTACGGTACCGTCACCGGCAACGGTACAGGTACGGTACCGTCACCGGCAACGGTACCGCCGGTACCCGCCACCGTCACCGTCGTCGTTGCCGTGTCACCGGTTCCGGGAACCGGTACTAGTACCGCCCATTTCGGTACCGGTTCCGGTACCAATTTTTTGGTACCGGTACCGGCGCTACCGGTCCGGTTCCGGTACCTGTTAATTTTTTTTTTGTTCATTTCAAAATTCAAATCCTGCAAAAAGTTAAAAAAAAGTGGGGGGCACACCTCAAACGGCTATTTAGCCGCTGAGGTGGGGGAGGGGAAGAGGGG